ATCTATATAGCTAATCAATCATTCATTAAAACTTCTGTTCATCAGCCCCTCTTCTCTCTTTCCTTTCTCCTTCTCACAACCATGTATCCACCCACCCACCATCCAGCCAGTCATCCGTCAACCATCAATACATTTCCGTCTCTCCATCTTTTCCTTTCATTTATTCCTGCTTCCTCTTCATTCACCTCTAAGTTAAGTTGCCCATTCATCCATTTATATATTATCCCTCCCTTTCTTTCCTCTACCCCGTTCTTCCAATTATTTATTATATCCACTCGTGTAATCCGGTGGTGAGCTGGTATCCATTCATCTACACACCCATCGACCCATCCTCCCTCCCTTTCCTTCACACGCTATCAGTCTGTCATCCCATGAAGACACACATTCATAGAAGAACTGTCCATCCATTGATCCATCTGCACATCCTCCCATTTTTCTTCCTTTCCTTTCTTTGACTGACTCACCCAACTATCCAACCATCAGTCTGTTCGCTCACCTGTCTTCCTCCTTTTCTTTTCTTTCCGCCCAGCATCACCCATCCACCTCTTCACCCACCTGCCCTGCATCCATTTATCCATTCCACTCCTCCGTGTTTACTCCTCCTCCTTTCACGTCATTTCACCCCCACCCACCATCCTTTCCTTCCCTTTGCCTTCCTTCTGCTTTTTAGACTGCCCTTCTCGGCCTCCTTCCCTGGATACCTCTTGCTTCCCAGATCTTTCAACGTTGGGATGCTCTGGGGCTCAGTCCCTGGTCCTCTTCATCTCTTGCCTACACTCTCTCCGTTGGTGCCCTCACCCAGCCTCATGGCTCCAAGTAGCGTCTTTATGCTCATATGCTCCTCCAATTTGTATCTCTGCCCTAGACCTCATCCCTGAACTCTAGACTCGTAGAAAACCTACCTGCTCAAAATGTCCAGCTCTACGTCTAGAAGACATTTCTAGCTAAACACGTCAGAAGCCCAACTACTGCACCATGTAGAAACTTACTCCTCCTGGAGTCTCCTACAGCTCCCTGATTTCAGTAGATCAAATCAAAAAGCCTTGAAATCATCTCAAATTCCTTTCTTTTTTTATCACACTCCACATCTGATCCCAGTAAATACTGTCAGCTGTATCTTCAAAATAGATCCAGAAAAAGGTCAGTTCCTACCACCTTCACGACCACTGCCCTGCTGCAACCCACCCTGACCACTCACCCGGACTGTCGGCCTCTCCTCTGCTTTGTCCAGCCTCTGCCCCTTCAACCTGTTCTCTACACAGCATCCAGAATTACCAGGTTAAAACACGCCGGAGCCTCTGCCCTTGTTTTTTCTGCTAAAAAGCGCCTACAAAGTCCCACGCAACCTGCTTCTTGCCTATTTCCTCTCTGACCGTAAGTCGCACTCCCCTTCCCCTCTGGGTTCTGCTCTCCCCACACTGGCCTCTGGTTATTCCTCAGAACACAGGTTCATCCCCACCTCAGAGCTTCGTGCTCTGAGACGTGCTTTCCCTGCAGGTAAACACATGACCGAGTCTGTCACACTCTTCCGGGCTTTACTCAAATGTCCGTGCTCCATGTGTTCTTTCCTGAGCACCCAGCTAGAGTCATACCTCCCACAATGCTCTCCGGTCTCTGTCCCCCTCAGCTTTCTTTTTAGCACATTTAACACCCTATACATTTTACTTATTTATTGCGTTTACTTTCCATGTCCTCTCCCTTAAATGTGTCCTTAAATGTAAGCTCCATGAGGACAGGGGACTTTGTTTTTTTCCCTGCTGTATACTTGGGACCTAGAAGAGCAACTACACAGAGCAGGCACTGAATATTGCTTGACTGAGTTAATGAACCTATTCACCTACCCTGCATTGGTCTATACTATAATCTACCCAACAACCCTCCCTCCTCTCCAATTATCTACCCATCCCATTCACCCAACACACATTCATATATCCATCTATCCTCCATTCCATCCATTTGGCACACTTTTATATGTCCCCATATGCACCTTTCCCACCACTTCAGCACACATTCACACATCCATCTTATCTGCCTATGCCAACAATTCAGCATTTATTTCTAAACCCATCTAGCCACCTGTCCTACCCATCCAACGTATACTCATGTATCCATGTATCCACCTGTCCAGATTATCCAGCGTATATTCATAAATTCATCTACCAGCCTGTCCCGCCCATCCAGTATACCTTCCTGTAACCACCTAGGTACCTGTTCCCATCATGCAATGTAATTTCGTATATCCATCTGTCTACCTGTCCTGCCCACGTGGCATACCTTTATGTGTCCATCTAGCCTGCTCCATCCATTCAGCACCCATTCTCAGATATTGATCTACTTGCCTGTCCTACCTGTGGAGCATGTTTCACGTATCCATCTGTGTACCAGTCCTTTGCTTCTGGCAAACACCCGTGTATCCATCCAACCATCCCTTCCATCCAGCATCCATTCCTATGTCCGTATCTCTGTGCATCCCATGCATCCAGCATGGGACGTTCATATCTCCCTCCTTCTCATCATCCACCTGCCTTCCCATCATCAAATCACCTGTCCAGTTCTCCTCTTCCCTGATCTCCTTTACAACTGAATGGATGGGTTACTCAGCCATCCACTTCCAACATCCATCCCTATCCTTCCTTTCCTCATTCCACTAGCCAACAAGGAAGTCATGACCAATTGTTTATTTTTAAATAAACCAGCCTTGTTTCAACATGAGGAAAAAAAATTAATGTATATAATTTACTAGTTAATGAATTAGAGGAAAAATATGTTTATCTCATGGGGATTTTTAAAAATACAGCAATCTACCTCTAATAATACAATGAACATCATTCTCATTCGTGAGCTTTACAATTAAGACTGAGAGTAGGCTGCCTGTTACATCATTGCTAGTCAGCATCGTTCCGAAGCCTTTGCTTCCATTATATAAGAGCTTGCTTTGGACCAGACGCTGTGCTAATGCTTTGTGTCCACCAATTCCTTTCAACAGCCCTATGCCGTAGGTACTATTGTTATCTTCCTGTTACAGACGAGAATACTTGCTAAGGTTATGCAGTGACTGGCAAAACTGGGATTCAAATCCAGGCATCTGTACTCTTAACCACTGTGCTACAGAGTCTAAGAATAAAGACCTGAAGGAAGAAATAGAACCGTTATTTACGGTAGATATGATTCATTACAGAAAACTTGGTCTGTTATCATAATTAATACGATAGTTTAGCTGGATACAAAATCAGTCTATAGAAGTTGAACTTTTATACACCAGCAAAAATCAGTTAGCAATGTAATCTTAGACATCACTTACAATATGACAACCAAAATAAACAGACTAAGTCTAACAAAAGATGTAATAGCTCTTCCTTCTGGAGAGAATTACAAAATTTATTTTAATGACGACGTCAAATAAGACCTAAATAAGTGGGTGATACATCATGTTCTCACAACGGAAGATAAAACTCAGTGAAGATGTGGGCTCTCTCCAAAATCACTAGAATAAAAGTTCCACAAGGGCATAGACTTTTCTTCTTTTCTCCTTCCCTTCCTTAGTTCCTCAAGGCCAGCTTCTTTTCCTCCCTCTACCTCTCCATTCTATACAATCTGCCTTAAGTCACCCAATCTTCCACCCCTTCCCCAGTCCCTCCAACTTGTCCCCCAGCTCCACTCCACTCCATCTCCTCTTTCCCTTCCTCACCCCCTCCATCCACTGCCAGACAGTCACCTCTGTCTTCTTTCTTCTCTCCTCTCCCTCTGTTCCTTCCACCATTCGCCTCGTCCATCCATCCACCCAGCCACACTCCCACCACATCTGTGTCCCCACCGCGTTAACTACCCATCTATTCTCCCGTCCATCTGCGTAACCCACCCTCCGGGCAGCCAGACATCAGTGTCCTCTATCTGCCCAACCCAGCCCCCTGCCTTTTGTCCACACGCCCATCCGTACATCCATTTACCCGCCAATCTGCTAATGCAGAGACTTTCTCTCCCCGCCTCTCTCACCTCTCCGCTTCCTCTTCTCCTCCTCCCAGGCTTTGCTCTCTGGTTGCAGCATGCTCAGACCTGCTCTTCTCTGGACTCTGTGGAAGGAGAGGGGACTCCTCAGACCTAGCCTGGATGAGGGGACATGCTCCCCAGGGACACCTCTTCACAGCCAGAGGATCTTGGAAATGGGTCCACCGCTGTCCACCATCTCCCCAGGACTTACTGGGCTCCAACCGCTCCCTTCACTTTAATATCCCGTTGCAGGGACCCCAGGGCTGCCTCCCGTCCAAGCATAGTGTGTATTCTCAGGGAATCCCAGTCAATTTTAAATGAGGTGGGACCAATCAGATTAGGACACACGTGGATTGCCCCATCGTCCAATCACGTTAACGCTCTGAGGCCGGCTTCCTCTTTTATTTTATTTGTTTATTTTCCCAGCGTTATTGAGATATAATCGACCTACAACATTGTATATGCTTAAGGTGTACCACGAAATGATTTCCACAGTGGGGTTAGTTAATACTCCTCATCTTACATAATTATCTTTTTTTTTGGTGGTGGTGGTAAGAACACCGAAGATCCGCTCTCTCAGCAACTTTCAAGTGTATAATACAGTATTAACAATCCATTTTATTTTATATAGTTTTAGATTTATAGAAAAGTTGCAAAAAAATAAAAAAGATACAAAGAATTCCTATATACCCTTCACCCAGACATCTCAGTGTTAAGTTTACCATATTCACCTTTTCTTCTCTCTCTCTAGAAATACATATTGTTTATTTTGTAAACTGTTTGAAAGTAAGTTTCCGACCTGATGCCCCATAATCCAGGGCACGTTTCCACCCAGCAAGGACATCGTTGTGCAGCAACCCCGCAAGGTTGTCAGGAATCAGGAATCGGCAACTGACACTGGCTTGGGGCTACAGTCTCAGGGGCCCTCTGCCCTCATGCCCTCTTGCCTGGCCCCTGCCTGTGTCCACCCCTCGGCGCCGGCTGCCGGTCTCACCTCCTCCTTCTGGCTTCAGGTTCGGGACAAGAAACTTCTCAACGACCTGAACGGGGCAGTGGAGGACGCCAAGACCGCTCGGCTGTTCAACATCACCAGCTCTGCCCTGGCGGCCTCCTGCATCATCCTTGTCTTCATCTTCCTGCGGTACCCGCTCACCGACTACTGAGGCCCCGACAGGCACCGCCAGCCTGGAGATGAAGCTCTGAGATGGGTTCATTTCGTGGCTGAGGAAAGCCGGATGCCCTGCGGCGGGGGCGGAGCCGGAGCCCCCCTGCAGCTGGGAACCCGGCAGCGAGGCACCGGGACAGTGAGTTCCGTGCCAGCCCACCCTCTCTGCCTCCCGGCCCTCCTCCTGTTTCGGGGGGGCCCGTGGGTTTCTTCCTGTGCTGCTGCACCTTGGCTTCCAGTGGCTGCCCTCCCTGCCTGCCTGTGCCCCCGTCCAGGCTCCTGGGGCCCCTCAGACCTGACACCCAGCAAGAAGGGCTTTTGTGGGAGCTTCCCAGGATCAGGTGGCTGCCAGCACCTGGGGACTGACTCTCTCCTCCCTGACGCCACCTCCTCCAAGCCGTGACCCTGCTCAGAGCTCTTGTATCTGTGAACTTCCAATAAAATACCTGCCCAGCTCTGGCCCAGCCTCCTGTCCCCCACTTGGGCAGGGCTCGGGGTGGAGGGCGTGCGGGGGGCAGGATTTGGAGGCTTTGGGAACCCCACTCAATCACTGCCTGGGGGTCCTGGGCCCCGAGTGCTGCATCCAGCTGACTCTTCCAGGGGAAGCTCGCCCCATGATCCAGGTGGCCTCTTCTGTTCACTGTGCATTACGGGACTGAGGGGGCTTTTGGTGAAGTGTGCTCCTAACACGAGTCCCCACGAGGATCAGGCAGCCTCCTTGGAGAGGACGGAAGGGGGGCGGGCACCAGGAGGGCGCCCCAGACGGCTATGGCAGTGCCCTGGCCAATCCCAGTCTACCTTGGGGACCTGGGACCTGGGCAGCTTCCTTCGTCCCCTCATCCGCGAAGTAGGGGATGTGGTTCTCCCATTTCTCAAAGGCGCCATGAGGTTCACCAGCGGGGATAACGAGGCATCCGCTGGAGGTTGCTGTTTCAGTATCAAGATCAGTGCAGGCGGCTCGTGCGGGGAACCAGGGCAGCGATGCTCCTACAGAGATGGGCTCTGCTCACAGCCCGGCAGGGTGCGTCAGCCTCTGAGAGCAAGTCTGAAGGTCCTAGGACAGGAGAAGCGCAGGCCCCGTGGGACGTGACGGAGGAGGCCCGATTCAGCCCAGGAGCTGCAGAGAGGGCAGCAGGTGGAGGAACCCCAGAGCCAGCCAAGGCCTCACCGTGAGGGATGCAGCTGATCTGGGAAGCAGAGGAGGTTGTGTGCAGACAGACCTCTTCCATCGCTGGGGCGATGGTTGTGGTCGTGTGGATGTGGGGTCAGGAGTTGGGGGCTCCCCTTGGACCTCCTGGGAGAGAGGGGCCCTCCCCTGGAGTCCTCTGGGAAGGCAAATCTTCAGGATGGGCCGTGGGTCTCTGGAGAGGTGTGGGCCAGCTGGGTTGGGTGGCTGCCCATCTAATGGCACAAGTCGTGGGCTCAGTGGCCTTCTCAAGTGGCGCCCAGCTGCACAGACTAGAGAGAGGGAGCCCCCATGCAGGGGGCTGGGAGAGGTGTCCAGGAGGTGGGTGTTGGAACAGGACACAGGCTGGTGTTTGGTTGGGGAGGACAGGAGCAGGCTGAGGGGCTCCGGGACTAGAATCCTGGGGGGGTCCACTGCCAGGAGGGATGGGGACTCAAGGCGGGGGGCGGGTCACAGGAGCAGCGGTTCTGGGTGTTATGACCACTGGGCCTGGAGAAGTGTTTCCCAGGTGAGAATATCAAGAACCTGGGTGTTGGCTGCACGCCTGTGGATACGGCCCAGGGCTCGGAGTGGAGACTCGAGCTGGGTCTGGAAGTTTCAAGCAAAGCGGGTGCAGCCTGGGTGGATGGGGGCAGAGATGGGGTGAGTGAGTGGGACTCACGAACTCCCCCCAGGACGGGGGAGAAGGCAGGGACCCGGTGCTGCTGACCCCTGACCCCGGGCAGCGGTGGATTGGGGTAGAAGGGGCAGTCAGGGGCCCTGCAAGGTCGTAGGGAGTTGAATCGCGGCCACCCCTTGGAAGGGAGCAGCCAGCCTTCCAGGTGGCCTCCATGGAGGGCTGGAGCCGGGAGGGCAATTGGCGGTGGGGCTGAGCAACCGGACACCGTGACAGACCACTGCATCTCAGTCACGGACGTTCTCAACACTTCTGCGGTCAGGCCCAGGTAGGCGCCCACCACAGCCCGTGGGTCCCTGGAGGAGCCGGGAATGGGACGAGGAGTGATGGGAGGGGCTACGGCCGGTCGCGGGAGACAGTCCCCGCCCCGCACCCCGACGGGCTCCCCAGGCACCTGGGGTTCACGGCAGCCGCTGTTCGTGAGGTCAGCCTGGGGCACCCTGGCGTCCTAGCGCTTTCTGGTGCCTGGCGGGGGTGCTGAAAGCGGAGGGGAAATGTTTCCTTTGCTCATCCTCCTTCCACCTTCGATGCCCGCGGCTGGCTGGCTGCCGGGGACGGCTCCCAGGAGGAAGGACATCCACATTAGGTCTGCCTCCGCCAGCTTCTCCCTGGCGGTGCCCGTGCAGCGGAGGCGTCGGGCTCCTGTTGGAGAAACGGCACAGTCGCCCTGCAGCCAGCAAAGGCGCCCTCGGCTCACAGATGCTCGTATCCGGTCCTGGGCAGCGTGGGACACGCGGCCCCCAGAGGTGCCGGCCTCGCACCGTCAGGCTCCGGAGAGGGGCGGTCATCCCCGGCACGATGACCGTGGTGGGTCAGGTGGACCCCTCGCCCTCACAGGCAACAGGCCGCATGGGCTGTGCCTTGGTCTCTGGCTTCCAGGCCTGTGTCTTTGCCTCTCTGGTCTCTTCCCTGACCTTCCTTCCGGCCCTGTGCCCCCTGCGCTCTCCCCTCCGCATTTTTATTTGATTTTCAGTTTGCAGTAAATAATAAATACGTACGAATGAATCGTCGTCGCTCACTCTCTTCCCGTCCCTCCTGGACGTGCCCCCTAGTTTTCTGCATCTTTGAGGGCATCAGGTGACATTCCCTGCCCTCCCCTCTCCCTCGTGCTGCCCTGGCTGGCCTGGCCACTGTCCTTGTGACCCCCCAGCCCAGAGTCCAATCTAAAAGAATCGGGACCAAGTAGCTGAATGGGGGCGCAGGTCTAAAGGGCGAGACTGGCCGTGTGTGCGTGCATCTGAGTGTGCACATGTGGGCATGTTTGCATGTGTGAGTGTGTGTGTGCCTCCGCCTGCAGGCATGTGTGTGCTGGGGTGGGGTGCCGCTGTGCAGACAGCCCAGCCCCTTGCCTTCACCACAGCCCCCCCCAGAATTCCCCAGGGCCCATCCACTTGCAAAGCCACTGCCCACTCCAGCCTGACTCTGCAGACTTTGGAAACCTGCAGAATATTCCTTCTCAGTCGTGTGCTCTCATCTCCCCCGCAGGGGTGCAGAGCTCAGGGTGTCACCCGACTGCTCCCCCTCACACAGAATAGTGACCACCGGCTCAGATGGGGGCACGAGGGGAGGGGCAGGCCCCTGACTGCCACAAACCCCAAGCCCACGAGACTTGGTCCTCTGCACATGACCTGTGGGTGGGAGGACAGCAGGGACAGGTATGGGGGGCTTTTCTGAGTCAGAAGAGGTACAGCATCCCCTCCCCCACCCCTGCCGCCTAATGCCACCTGACGAGGCTGGGACCCCTAAAGGGAGTCTCAAGGCTGATTTCCAGGACAGAAAGATGTGCTCCTGAGAGGGCTGCCAGAGGGGCGTGGAGAAAAGAAGATGGAATCAATTAGGCCACAAATTCAAGACCATTGAAGCCCAAATAGTGACAAATCCCCACACATCACAGTAGGGGTAGTAAATCAATAAAATAAGAAATGAAAAAGGAAAAGTTATAACCGACACCACAGAAATACAAAACATCATAAGAGACAGCTAAGAGGAAGTATATGCCAGTCAAATGGACAACCTGAAAGAAATGGACAAATTCTTAGGTACAATCTCCCAAGACTGAACCAGGAAGAAACAGAAAATATGAACAGACCAATCACAAGTACTGAATGGAATCTGTGATTTCAAAACTCCCAACAAACAAAAGTCCAGGACCTGATAGCTTCACAGGCAAATTCTATCAAACATTTAGAGAAGAGTTAACACCTCTCCTTCTGAAACTACTCCAAAAAATCGCAAAGGAAGTAACATTCCCAAACTCATTCTACAAGGCCACCATCACCCTGATACCAAAACCAGACAAAGAGATCACACAAAAAAAGAGAAAATTACAGGCCAATATCACTGATTAACACAGATACAAAAAAATCCTCAACAAAATATTAGCAAACTGAATTCAACAATAAGTAAAAGGATCATACACAGTAATCAAGTGGGATTTATCCCAGGGATGCAAGGATTTTTCAATATCCTCAAATCAATCAATGTGATACACCACATTAACAGAATGAAGGATAAAAATCATACAATCACCTCAGTAGATGCAGGAAAGGCTTTTGACAAAATTGAACATTCATTTATAATAAAAGCTCTCCACAGAGTAGGTAAAGAGGGACCATACCTCAACATAATAAAGGCCATATATGACAAGACCATAGCTAACATCATATCCAATGGTGAAAAGCTGAAAGCTTTCCCTCTAAGATCAGGAACAAGACAAGGATGCCCACTCTCACCACTTTTATTCAACATAGTATTGGAAGACTTAGACACAGCAATCAGACAAGAAAAAGAAATTAAAGGAGTCCCAGTTGGGAAGGAAGAAGTAAAACTGTCATTGTCTGCAGATGACATGATGCTATACAGAGAAAATCCTAAAGATGCTGCCAGAAAACTGCTAGAGCTCATCAGTGAATTCAGTAAAGTTGCAGGGTACAAAATTAATATACAGAAATCTGTGGCATTTCTATACACTAACAATGAAAGATCAGAAAGAGAAATTAAGGAAATAATTTGCTTTTGTTTCCCTTGCCTAAGGAGACAGATCCAAAAAAATATTGCTATGATTTATGTCAAAGAATGTTCTGCCTTGTAATTTACTACCATGTCAAAAAGAATAAAATACCTAGGAATAAACCTACCTCAGGAGGTAAAAGACCTGTACTCAGAAAACTATAAGACACTGAAGACAGAAATTGAAGATGACACAAATAGATGGAAAGATATACCATACTCATAAACTGTAAGAATTAATACAGTTAAAATTACCATACTACCCAAGGCAATCTACAGATTCAATACAATGGCATTTTTCACAGAACTAGAACAAATAATTTTAAATTTTGTATGGAAACACAAAAGACTCTGAATAGCCAAAACAATCTTGAGAAAGAACAGAGCTGGAGGAATCACACTCCCTGACTTCAGACTATAGTACAAAGCTATAGTCATCAAAACAATGTGGTACTGACACAAAAACAGACACATAAATCAATGGAACAGAATAAAGAGCCCCCAAATAAACCTACACTTGCATAGTCAATTAATCTATGACAAAGGAGGCAAGAATATACAATGCAGAAAAGATAGTCTCTTCAATAG